ATGACATTACTTGGAATGTGTTTTTCATCAATCACTGCCCATCTCTCAAAGCCTATTAAAACTTACTGCTTCTAAAGGATTTGTGCCTTTGTATGGAGCTATAGGTATTAATGGAAAAAAAATGTTATTCTCTGTAGTGCTAGAGTTGTTTGGTGAATGAGGATTATTATCAGAAAATACTGGTGCCCAGCAATTAGTGAGCAAACTGGAAGAGAACCGCTCGTTACCGTTAGAGAACTCAGCCTAATCTGTCAATTTGTTAATTTGTAAATATGCCAGATAACTTGCATTTAGGTACACAGAGTTCATACTAACCTGTAATTTCAGTCTTGATTTCACAACGAACTGCATTGATGAAATGGAAATAACAATGCCCTTTAACTTTCTTGTGTAGGAGCACTACCTGTGTGTAGGTAAAAACGAATCTCCAGGGCTGAGTAGCACCTGCAGATATATCAGTGAAGGGAAATGAATTTGCTTGTGCCAAGAATACCTGCACAGAGGTGACTAGGACAAACTGGACAGCAGTAGTTGCCTAATAAAAACCTAGAAGGCATCCAGAAATGCATGTGGATTCAGGCTCAGATATGGTATGCTTCTAGCTCTGCAAGGTCCACCTGTGAGGTCCATCCACTGGGAACTATCTGAATCAGAAGTGATCTTAGAGCAAGTCCATCTCAGAGAAAATATCAGTAGCCTAGATGAAACATCCTTTTGAGTTGACTGTGACAGGTACATCAGCTTGCCATCACTGTCACATACATGTTTACCATAAATAACCTAATGAGACTGAGGCAGAGCTCTGGTGTCAAGAATATTTTAAAATGTACATGTATTTGTTGATACCAAAGGGAGTGAGAGGTAAGCAGAAAGTGGACTCACTGCTATTTAAGATTCCTCTCCAGACTAAATTGAATTTAAATGATGTGTGTAAGTTTTTGCTGGAATAAATATTTTTTTTTTTAGTATTCCTGCCAGAAAATCATAGTATAAAATTCAAAGTGAATTATAACCATGACTTTTCAGCTGCCAGTAGAGCTTTTTAAGGAACACCCAGTGAAATGTTATTTCATCAGTAAATGCTGACATGATGTGCTAAAACCTCACTTTTACACTAGGATTTTTATTCTTTTCACTTACTACTTGAGAAAATTTTACAAAGGTTTCAAAACTGCGGGATTACCTCAAACCTAAATTGCAGAAAATTGAAAATCTGTTGAAATTATTTTTTCTTAGACTATTTCTCGATTTATTTCAGGAATGGAATATGTAGGTAAGTAACTGAAATACAAACACCCTAAATACTCATAACAGCACATTCATACAAAGTGTTTTAACATTCTTTTGGGTTATGTGTACATAAACATAAGTTTTGACTTACCCTGAGCTAGACTGGTAAATAAAACAATTGAATTTCTCACTGGAACAGAATACCATTTTTCACATTACAGCTGTTATTATATCAGGAAGTCTGCTTGTGAAAATGAACTGTCATCAGAGAATACAAAAGCTTTCTTAAAGTTGGATGTGCATGACTTCTCAGTCTCTTTAATTTTGGACAAGTTTTTAAGATTTTTAGAGTGTAATTCTGTTATTCTAAACTAATTGTGAAGTGTCAGTTGTCTTTATGGAGAATTAGTGGGGTTTGATCTCACAGTTCCTGAAACCATGTACACAAGAAGGATACAACAAAGAAAATTGTGTCTTCCACAGTGTGTTTTATAGTTGTAACCAGTTTCTTCAATACAACAATCCGATGTATTTATTAGAGCAGATGGTCACAATAAACCACTTTCCTGTTGTATTGTCTGAGGTAACAGCAGCATTTTTTTCCATGTCTTTCATCCAAAGATGATTTTTCCTTTTATTACACTTTCCCTATTTTTTTAAACTATGTTATTAATAAATGCATAATTTTACAGTTTTTATATTTTGTATAAATTTTGCAATAAGTAAAATCATTATATTTGCAATTCTAGAAGACCCAAGCAAAAGTAGTATTTCATTATGATAGCAGTTGAATGACAAAAACAATATCAATCGCTTTTACCTCAAAAGCTGAACAAATAAAATGTCTTGTATGTTATCACATCCAGTGCAAATAAGGAGAAATTTGCTACATGTTAGTGTGTAAGAATCTTAATGACAGTGAAAATATTTTTTGAGTTTTCAAATGAATTTATTAAATTCTCACGTTTGTTTCTTTCAGTCTCTTTAAGCTTTTCCCAGGTGTAATTTTAAAAAAAAAGTGTATAACTTTTTCCCCAGAAGAAATATTTGTTCACTAAAAGTGCATGAATGTGCATTAAATCCTGCTGGCCCTGACAATCAATCTTAATGTGAGGGTCCAGTTAATAGCTTCAGATGTATCTGCCATTCAGAATATAAGGAGCCATGTAGTGAAATTGCCACAAGTCACTGTGTGGCTGGACTGTGTCAGAATGGATCACAATGCAGTGATCTCTCTGGAGAGTTTGTCACAGTCTGACTAGTAAAAATAACTTTTGTCATGAGGCATTTTGGTTTGTCAGAAAGAAATGTCTGAAGAATGTAAATGCAGCATTTCATAAAATAAAATAAATAAAATGAATATTAAAAAAAATTTTGCTGTTACATTTCCATTATCTGAATTCATTAAATGTCTTTTGAGTGCCTGTGGAAGAAAAATAAACATACATCTGCTCATTTAGTTTTATATTCGTAAGTACTATTCTGTTTATATTCTTACGTACTGCTGCTGGATCTGTTTTGACGACAAACCTTACACAAAAAAGTTGTTGAATATTAAAATTGGTCTCTGAAAACCACCACTCTTTGTTCTTTAACTTAGTACGGTAATTTTATATATTTTTCCATGCTGCAACACTTTGGTAATTAATTGAAAACACAGAAATAAAAGTATACATAGATATTTATTTGCGATCTATAAAGTTACTATGAATATTTGTTTTTTATTTTGTCTTTTCTATATTCAGTATCTCTACTTGGATGACAGTCATATAAGCACATGTAATAGTTATATTGTATACCCATTACCATCACTAAATAATGTTTCCATTTTACTTATCATAATTTTGTACATTAGTTTTATGTAGCACTTCAGTAAGCAGATGTTAACAGCTATTGACGAAGGCAAAAATGAGATATGCTTAAATTTTTAATAGCAGTCCACATGGAAGAAAACTTCAGCTATGTGAAAGCATTGCACAGCTGGTGTTTGGGATGGAATAGAAATATAGCTTGAAGACACCTTTCTGCATCTACTTATTTAGAAACCAAAGTGACTGCATGGGTAGTGCGGCTTTAATGTGAATTGTCTTGTATTTATGCCTCAAAGGGTTGTTATAGAAGCCAAGATTTCTAAAGTACAGTATCTTTCAGCAATTTACTTTGGCGGTCAGAAGTTGCTGTCTTACCTCATCGAACCAGCTGTTCAAAATCTAAAAAATCTTCCAGATCAGGAGCTCTTCAGTTGGGCCCTAAAGATATGGTTTACATTTCCTTTAATTTGAAGACTAGCCTCAAGCAGGATTGAACTTTTAATATTTTGCCATAATCTATTACTTTGGATCTGCACTTAATAAATTCTATAGAAACAGGGTTATGTTTAATTTTAAAAGCTATCACAGCACTCTATAGGAATACACATTTCTAACAACTTTGTCTGAGGCTGCTTCTTCTTTCTCCTTGTTGAGTAAAACGATGAGCACAAGGTCAGATATAGAGTAACTCAGTGTCACACTAGAATCTGTTCTGGCAATACCTATGCTACTGAAGAGTACTATTCTTTTATAATATTTTACTGAAATGAAATTAAATGTGAAGTTCAGATCTTCAGCCAGACTTGGTATCCAAATTTTTAAGACATTGGAATTAATGATATTCAGCTCACTGAAGTAAATCTCTCGTTGAAGTCTCTAGTGACTTTTCATGCTGTAATTGTTACATTATAATAAATTGGACCAGTCTATTTTGATCTTTTCCAGAACACTATTTTTGCAAGAATCTAAATGTCTTTAGAAACTTTTAACATGTTTTGTTAATAAAAGAACTGAAAGCAATACTTCTTATGCTTTAACTGACTGATCTGTTATGACAAAAGTCACAACAAAATGTCTAAAGTTGGAAACCTGGTATTTATGTTCAGCACTTGGAACCTTGCTCCACACTTAATGAGTGAATTTTTAATTGCTTTATATCAATTAATTAAAAAAATAGCTACTGGATTTGAAAACAACTGGGCTTTAGTGAAAAAAGAGCATTTATTTACAACTATTTAGTGTGTGTGTTTTAAAAAAAGGTGTTGTTATCAGTGAACCATGTGACTTTATTTCTGGGTGATGGCTTCAGAAACTAGAATACTATGGCCAATATAACTTAGCTGTAAAATGTAGATTCTCATTTTATCTTAGAAATTTTTTTAAGTTTTTGTGCTTATGTAGCACTTGAATAAGAAACACAGATACTAAGTATTTCATAAGATTAGATTTCTTATTCCCTCTAAGTTAACTGGTTCATAAAATCAAAATCAGTAAGTTGCCTAATCTGTTAGATCTTGTAATATCAGCTTTATTACAGAATGTATTGGGACAATTTTCTTTTTTTGGCTTGGAAACAGGATATTTTCTTAGTGTGGTCTACACAATACCACAATAAAAATGAGAAGGCTTTCATCAACAGTGTGCTTACTAATATTTCAATAAAAATGGGAATATCTGCATAAAACCACTTGAAGAATTTGACATTCTACTGAATTCTTGTGAAGACCCATTGTAGCTTGAATGGTTTGTATTATTATTGCAAGTATGGCTTTCTTATAGAGTTCTTTTATTCCATTTAGAACTGCTTTGATTATGAAACTGAAACTTTTAAATGTTATTTTTAAATATAAGTAAAGAACATAAAAGTTCTCATCAAAATTGGTCACACCCTCGTCTGTTTTCTCAGACTAAATGTGATAATACATTTTTTCTGTCTTCTGTTACTCTATTTTTCATCAGGTTTTACTGGTCAGTTTTGTGAAGCAGCTGTTGGTGCCTGCCTGTCACAACCATGTGGAGCCTCCAGCATCTGTAAAGACATAGTGGATGGCTACCTTTGTTTCTGTGCACCTGGTTTTATAGGTGGGTTCAAAGGAGTATTGTTTAACCTGATTAAGTCAGTCCTAAATCACAGAAAAGAAGGTTATTGAAAAGTAGCAATACATATAAATTAGCCATGTGCTTCTGATTCAGGAAGAAGCAACTTTTATTTCCTGGCACACAGATGTATTTGGCTGTGTAAAAGTATTCAGTTGTAAAAAATACTGACTACAAGAGACTATTTCCACCCCAATAACTCTTACTTTATACTATTTTAGACAGGTTGTCTTACACTGATGTGATTGCAACTCCCAGCCGTATGCAAGCTGGTCTTAAATTATCAGCTTTGTGTTTCCTGTAAGAGTAAGGCTACAGTAACAAGGGCCTTAACTGCCAAATACACATCCAAGATCCTGGGCAGGTTTAACTATTCATGCTTAAGCTTACCCATGTCATTGTCATTTAGTACAGAGTCTGACTAGATTAAAATTACTCATTAAAATCAGTTTGGTTATGTCAGCATACTGTCATGGTAATTCCAGAGTACAGAGTTAACAAACAAAAAGCAAACAAAAAACCCCAAACCCAAACAAAAACAAAAAACATCTTTCTAGACACAGTTTCAGATCTTTTTGACTTTTTGATCACCTCTATGATGAAATAATCAAGTGAAATAGGAATTCCCTAAGTGGCAGATCAGCTCTAAAGCCCAGATGCATCCTATCCAGCTGCAGGGACTTTGATGGTCTCCTGAAGCAGGAATAAGAATATTCTAGAATCTTTCTCAATAGTTGTGGAAGACACAGAAAACCAGAGGAATTCAGATCTTGAGTAGACTTCACACCTCTTAAATTGTTGCTCTATGTCTTAACGTAGGCATCCATTTAGATGATGGATCTGTAATTTAATAGCTGTGGTATTTGTGTCTATAATATAGTGAAATGCTATATCTTGTTTCTATGGTTGGATTATTTTATTACCAAAATATAAAAGTAAAATTGATGTTATTATTGCTAATTCTTGGTGAGGTCTTATTGAAATGTTTCTTTAAATTCTTAAATCTACATAATTGATTAATAAGTTTAGGTCATACATTTTCTGTGTCCAAATGAAGTCCTCAAAATGCCTCTGAAACATTCAGGAACTTTTCATCTCCTTTTTAACCATAAGTAATAAGAAATTTGTATCCATCATCTGTTTGTATAATTCACATGCAAAATGCAAATAAATACTTTCTGAGCTTTGTTTTATCTTGAAGGCCAGAAAAAAATATTAGGTGCAACATTTTCGAGTGCAAATCCGTATCTATTCTTTTTTATTTCTGTGTATCTGCATATTTAAAAATAGATGGCAGTATCTAATGTTCTATTAGTATCAAAAAAGGTTTGAAATATCTAGCCATAATACAAAGGTTTACCAGTATTTCCCATAAGGATCTCCATTAAAAAATAATAATAAAAAAGAAAAGAATGAAAAAAAACAACATTATAGAAAAAGTCTGTGGTATTTTAATATTTGATATCAGAAATCATTCTTAAACTTTTATGTTTCTTCAGAAAAACTGAAAAATTTATTGCTTTTAAAATACAAAAAAATGAAAATTTTTTATTACCTCTGTAAATTAATCTACAAAATTCCCATCAGATCTTTGCTAAGTATTATATATTCAATTCACTTTTGGCTTTAATCAACAAGAAATGAATTCTCTAAAGACAGTTCAAGGCTCATTGCTAAAAGTCCTCCATATCTAACCTCAGTTATTTCATTTTACTGTTGCTGCTTTCACTGGTAACTCACCACCAGTATGTTCCTCCTGAAATGAATCCTTCACTCATTTCCAGGTAATAACTGTGAGACTGAGGTGGATGAGTGTCTTAGTGACCCTTGTCACAATGGAGCTACTTGTGTTGATCATCTGAATGCCTTCAGTTGTATCTGTCAAGATGGATTTCAAGGTATTAAAAAATCATAGAACTATAACTTTGTAAATCTATTTTGAGTGTTACACCAATTTTTTAACACATCGGATGAGATGCACGTATACTTACTTTAGGGTCATCAGAGGTTTTAAATATGTAAATTCAGCATGAGTGCATCTTGACTGAAGTTATCTAATTTGCTTTTATGACAGCATAGGACTAGGTGTTTTTTACTGGCTGATGGCTTAGCTGTTGAAAATGGATCAGTGCGAGCATCAGTGAAATTCTGCAAATCACAGATACTATTTCCTGTAAGCTTTTTAAACTGTTGGCAGATTTAATACAATAGAATTGGAGAAAAAAATGGGAAGGTTTCTTTTCTTGGCATATTTGTACAATTTATATGAAAAATTTAATCACTTTGATAAGTGTATGCATTAGTATCTGCACCTATTTACATTCAACTCAGATTAAGAATTTAAATTGCATCCACTTTATTTTTAGTGAATCATATTTTAAATATTGTGGATTTTTAGTCACTGAAATACAAGCCAACCTGTAATTCAAATGTTACAGGGCAAAATGTTACAGGGCAAAATATTACATTTCTACTGCTAGCTATATTCAGAACAGCTATCATTTGCATTTTTACTAAGATTCTTTGAACTTCCCAAACCACACAATTGATGTAATTTTTTACTTATTCTTCAAATTCTAAAAAAATTAATTTCCCCTAGAAATATTAGCAATTGAGTGTTTTATACTTTCAATAGCTATGTGCTTGCTATTTATAGTCTCGACTGGAATACACTGTGTTTTTGTATACATTGGACCTCTTTTTTCCATTTTTGGGGAGTACCTCTGTTGCCTTATCATGAACACAAGGAATATTTTCTCTCATGTGAGTGCAGTGCAGTCTGTCATATTTAATGCAATTTGTTTTCTATTCTTCTATATTTATGTAGTAAGAAAATAGCGTGGAGCCTTGGGAATCTGTTTAATGACTCTACTTCTTATTTTTTAGGAAAACTAGTGAACAGCTTAAACATTAAGAATATCAACATACTGTCATAGATGGCTAAATTTGAATGTAAAAAGGATGTCAAATAGATTCCAGCACGTGAACTATCTTCAGTTAAAATAAAAGATGGTAATTATATGTGCTATGCAGTAACTTCCCTTTGCCTGATTGTATATTTATAGGCACAACTTGTGAAGCAAATATAAATGAATGTCACTCTTCTCCATGTCTTCATAACGCGTCATGTGCAGACCTTATTGGTGGTTATGAATGCAGCTGTCTGCCCGGCTTTACTGGTGAGTTGTATTCATAGAAAACCTTGTTTTTCACATGGAGGTAGTCCACAAAACATCCATTAAGACATCATTGACTAATTTGCTTGTGTTTCCTTCTCATTTCTCTTTATCTGCCCTGGTCTAATGTTTCATTTGCATTACCAACAAACTGGAACATTGACTCCATCTGCAAACTAAAGAGCACAAGATAAATTAGCCTGCATTTAAAAAGGCCTTCAAAACTTCCACACAGAGGGAAGATTAGTTACCATTTAGCAACTCAAAAAAAAGTTGCTATGTATTTGTAGTGATAAGAATTTAATGGATGCTGACATTATTATGTGTGTCTCTTTATTTGACTGATTTATATTAGTTTCTCCTCACAAGTTGCTTAAGATTCTTGTAGTGCAAATGAATTAGAAATTGGCACCTGTTTGTCTTAACGAATGCTCAAATCTTTCATCTTTTCAAAGGTGCAAGATGTGAAACAGATATAGATGAGTGTGCTTCATTTCCCTGCAAGAATGGAGCCACCTGCATTGACCAACCTGGTAATTATTTCTGCCAATGTGTGGCTCCGTTTAAAGGTAATGAACACCAAGGGAGAGGGGAAAGCAAACATAATTAACTTTAGAAAGCATTTCTGTCAGTTGTCTGAACTCATTTCACCTTCCTACAGCATTATTAGTCCTTCATTTTCCCAGGCAAAGCTTTTAAAGTGACCAGCCAATTATGCCTTAGGCTGCAAATAATGTGGAGTAAACTTCCTTTATACATCTATTAGGAGTTTTTATTTATTAATAAAAGTGGATACTTTCAAATCAGTTTGTTAACAGAATAAGATTATTTACAAAATGAGAAGCATTAGGCTGCCTTTGCAAAGATTGGTTGCTTTTCTATACATTTTCCTCCCTAATTTGATTGATCAGTCTCTAAATTTTTTTTTTCATTATCAGAAAACAATTTATAGTTATCTTGGAATCCATAAATTTTGTGTGATTATTTCTATTGAAATGTAAAGGAATGTATTTAAAGGAAATAAACTTAAAATGCAAACTTTATTATGATATTCTCGTAGAAATTTTGGGGGGTTAATTTTAAACACTCACTGCCACTATAATTTAAAATAACAAATTGTGTGGTGTTTCTTAAGGAAATCTAGTTCAAGTGATAATCTCAATTATAGGCACTTGTTGATTTATAAATTAAATATAAGCACATTTTTTCCTCCTGCAGTTCAATGTAATGATACATACTTAGGATTCTGGAATAATCATTAAAAGGCAATTTTCTTGGTATGTTGAGACAGCAGGGTTTTTTCCCTTTAGGGAAAATTGTTGCATTAAATTCATCATTCGTGAGAAAAGACTGAGATCTAATATTTGCTCTTATTATTGTAGTCAATGGTCAAAATTTAGTTTGTTGTTTTTATTAGTTTTAATTTATGTTCAGCTGGATAAAATGTAGTATAATAACAAGTAAATGAGTACTGCAGTATCAGACTTGCCTCTGCTCAGAAAGATGTAAAATAATTTTCAGTGCATGGTTAGAAATACTGGTCTCTTAAGTAACTGTTTCACAAGGTGAAAGATTTTCAGAGGACTTTAGTATTCATTTAGATATTTAAGTAAATGATTAAAATTTCAGAAAGCCAGTATTTCTGTATTTACCCTTCAGGAAGTTAGCAGTGTCTAACACCTGATGGAGAAGTTAAACTCTGCTGCAAAGATTTGTAAGTGGTAACTGAGCTTCTCTAAAAACATACTATTCTTGGTACAGAATGTCTAGAATCTATAGGATTCTTGTTGAAACACAAGATTCTTTGAGAGTGTTTACTTCTTTACAGGTTTTTTTCAGCACCTTTCAAAATCAAATTCTTGTTCTAATGTTACCTAGATTCATGGTGTTATAAATAAAAGTATAATTAGTTTCATATGATAACTTTGCCTCAGTCTCAAGCCATCTGTTTGTTTAGTATTAAACTCCTGTAAATGTAGTCTTCAGTAGATTCTCAGTAAGCCAACATAATGGCTAGTTAAACTGTGTTTTGTAATCGTGTGGAAATAATCATATTACTATAACAAATACCTTTTGTATGCCAGTTAGAGATTATAGAATTGCTTTACTAATGAAGTAAATACATGATATTAATGGTAGGATTTATACAAGAATATCTGGTTTATTTTTTGAATATTTTCACATATTTACTTGAGTATGCTTTTCTCAGTGGAAAGGCATAAATTATTATTATGAATGCTGTCATTTACTTGGAAAGCAATCTAAAGTTTTACTTCCATAATGCATTTTAATTTTTTGATTCTCCTGTCACAGAATCTGACTGGAAAGGTATGCACTACTATTAGTAACATAATATACCAGTTGATCAGGATGTGTATAGCAGACCTCTGCTATATAGAATGTAGAATTAAGGAAGTCAGGGCATGATTTGGACATTCAGGTGAATTCATGCAAAATGGTAGTCTGTCAGATTAAGCTAGGAATGGATTCTATCAATAAAAATGGGTTAGCATGCATTTATCTTTATTTTTTCCCAATATTCTTGACTATTCTAATTTGTTTATTTTGACAAGGAGACTATGCAAGATATATCTGGATTTTTTTTGAAATGTCCAACAGTTCAGGCTGTGCAAAGTAACTCTACAAGCCTGATTTGTGAATGAACTTTCAGTTTTTCTGTGAGCACAAACCACTTTTAGAAAATCTGATTTCCGTGGTAAAGTCAATCCAGGGAGAGCACTCAAGAAGTATGTTGAGATCAGAGATGCCATTGCTTTAACCCTAACAGTGACAGAGCTAATTGCATTCCTCTCTACCAGTGCTCCCCTGACAGAAGATTTACCCACAGCTAGTGTAGATCACTTGTTTTTCTATATATTCTAGTACTTCATTGGGATTATTGACACTAAAATTGCAGCCTTGACTTTTCCCAAGCTTTAAGCTGAACAGCTTGAGGGTACAAGCAGTCCATCTATGCATAATTCGAAAGATAACTGAAAAAACTCATAAGACTTCCAGGTACAAAATAGCATCCTTGGCAACTTCTAATGACAGTCTTATTACTAAAAATGATAACTGAAGTCTTTACATCTTCAGCCAAGTTCCTTGTCCTGTGGAGGAAAGAACTGAATTTCTATTTTCCAAAATCACAGACCTTTACCTGTAGTCCTGATAAAGTACAAAATAATGAATTTCAAATTCCATGTACTTCTATGTCATAACTCTCTTGATCTTGGTTTGAGGGAAGCTCAAGATTTGATTAAAGGAAAAAAAAATATACCAGATTATGTTATTACTGAAGAGTTTCCTGTGTAAACCCACACAGAAATCCTAGCAGCTACTGAGCATATGTTGCAACTAAAGCCAAATGGAGAAATAATAATAGCATGCAGACTTATACAATATGTTTTTGCCATTTATAATAGTTATCTGTGCCACAAATACTATATGTGCTTGTGAATATATTCTATTTACCCTAATGTGACAGTCATATTCTCTGTTTCTGTCTGCTTTCACTGGTGTTGTGTCACTGACCTGCATAGTAGAAATTACTATTACAACTGTGACACCTCACACTTAAATGATGAAATGCTATTTAACATGCTGCCATTCACACATACTGTAGTATAATGTTCTTCTCATACAAGATTTAATCTAAGTACATATCTAGTATAGTTGCTTCTGCTTTGTTCTAATATATTAGTCCCTGCAAATATGCTATTTTAGAAATATCTCCCTCTTCTCCTCATTTTCTATCGTTATCTGAGGTACAACACTGATAGTCCTGTATATTGAACATTTCATATCTCGGGACATTCTGAAATTAACTTCTTTAGAAACAGAGAAGGGGACCATCTGATTTTCTGTTGCGTTCCCTACTGGCAAAGTAACTGTTGGAACTGGGAGCAGGAATGAAGATAAACTTGATTTGGGTGCAGGACAAATCAAAGATTTTAATATTAGCAACAGAAGACAAACAGCTCAGAAGTACATTCAGCTGCAGTTCTGGCCAGTGCATTATCACTGTTAAGTCTTTGGCAGCAATTTATCTATTATAGAGTTAAGAAGGCCTCTCAGCCCTCTTATGAGCTTGATTCCATTATAGTATCCTAGCTGGGGAGTTATTATAACAACTTTTCTATTAGGATATTGATTCTACAATTGTAGCCTTTCTATAATAGTATCCTAGTTATTACAGAATAACTAGGATGCTGTCTCCCACAGCATCCTTGCGGCTAAATTGAGGAAGTGTGGTCTGGATGATCGGGTAGTGAGGTGGACTGTGAACTGGCTGAAGGAGAGAAGCCAGAGAGTTGTAGTCTATGGGGCGGAGTCTAGTTGGAGGCCTGTATCTAGTGGAGTGCCTCAAGGGTCGGTACTGGGACCAGTATTATTTAATATATTCATCAACGATTTAGATGAGGGAATTGAGTGTACTATCAGCAAGTTTGCTGATGACACTAAGCTGGGAGGGGTGGCCGACACGCCAGAAGGCTGTGCTGCCATCCAGAGGGACCTGGACAGGCTGGAGAGCTGGGCGGGGAATAACTTGATGAAATATAACAAGGGAAAGTGTAGAGTCCTGCATCTGGGCAGGAACAACCCCAGGTTCCAGTATAGGCTGGGGAACGACCTGTTAGAGAGCAGTGTAGGGGAGAGGGACCTGGGGGTCCTGGTGGACGACAGGGTGACCATGAGCCGACACTGTGCCCTTGTGGCCAAGAAGGCCAATGGCATCCTGGGTTGTATTAGAAGGGGGGTGGTTAGTAGGTCGAGAGAGGTCCTCCTTCCCCTCTACTCTGCCCTGGTGAGACCTCATCTGGAATATTGTGTCCAGTTCTGGGCCCCTCAGTTTAAGAAGGACAGGGACCTGCTGGAGAGAGTCCAGCGCAGGGCAACTAAGATGATTAAGGGAGTGGAGCATCTCCCTTATGAGGAAAGACTGAGGGAGCTGGGTCTCTATAGTTTGGAGAAGAGGAGATTAAGGGGTGACCTTATTAGTGTATATAAATATATAAAGGGGGAGTGTCACGAGGATGGAGCCAGGCTCTTCTCAGTGGCAAACAATGAAAGGACAAGGGGTAATGGGTACAAATTGGAGCACAAGAGGTTCCACTTAAACCTGAGAAGAAACTTCTTCTCAGTGAGGGTGACGGAACACTGGAACAGGCTGCCCAGGGAGGTTGTGGAATCTCCTTCTTTGGAGACATTCAAAACCCGCCTGGACACGTTCCTGTGTAACCTTATCTAGGTGTTCCTGCTCCGGCAGGGGGATTGGACTAGATGATCTTTTGAGGTCCCTTCCAATCTCTAACATACTGTGATACTGTGATACTGTGATACTAAGTGCTTCAGAGGAGAGCAGTGTGTGAGAAATATACTGTGAGACTGTATCTCATTTAGGGTCCTAACAGCTTCCTGCAAGGTAGAATGAAAGCTCCTATGTCTCTATCAGAAAATACTGTCTTATTCACACACAATTCAAGAATTAGTAAATTTTATAGTCCCCACTGTCATATTTTATCTATATATAAAAATATATATCCACACTTTACCTATATTTATGTCC